TAATAATACATTACTAGTAAAATTATCATCTTTTCTTGTTTTCACAGAAAGAAATTTTGGACTTGTTGAAAAAAGTAGCTGTTTTGTAATTTGAAAAATTGGTAGCACGACACCCATTTAAACTTCTTTTTGAACAAGAAAATCATTCAATGAGCACGTTTGCTAACTTCATCTACCAATCCCCGACCCTTTTGTCCTATGGCAAAGGATGTGTATCAGATATAGCCACCCATCATTTCATTCCTGAAGGAGCCCGAGTTATTCTTCTTTATGGAGGTGGATCTATTAAAAAGAATGGAGTATATGATGAAGTGAAGAAGTATGTGACTCCAGTTGTTGAGTTTGGAGGTATTGAGCCAAATCCCCACTATGAAACATGTATGAAGGCCGTTAAAGTGATTAAAGAGAACAATTGTGACTTCTTATTGGCTGTAGGTGGAGGATCTGTTATCGATGCGACCAAGTTCATAGACCTTGCACTTGATTGGACTGCTACAGCTGATCCATTTGATATGTTTAACGATGGTATGATGCAGAAAGTAACGAAGCCCAAAGCCAAGATAGGTGTAGTCTTGACCATTCCTGCTACTGGGACTGAGACTAACAATTTGTTTGTCGTCACACATTTTGAAAAGAAGGCTAAAGTCCTTGGATGCTGTGATTATGTTAAACCACACTTCGCTTGTGTCGATCCAGTTCACTCCTTCACTCTTCCAGTTAATCAAGTCAGAAACGGTGTGATTGACGCTTACGTCCACGTCATCGAACAGTACATTGGACACTATGACGTCTCTGCTGTCGTCGATCAGTTCTGTGAAGGTATCATGAGAACCTTAGTCCACTCCGGGCCTTTGACCGTGAAAGATTTGCACGACTACAAGTCACGTGCAGACTTCTGTCTTGCTGCTACTTATGCTTTGAATGGAATTTTGGGGACAGGTGTCCAGCAATGCTGGGCGGCTCATCTTATTGGACATGAAATCACTACATACTATGGAGCTGCTCACGGCGCTTCTCTTGCTATGTCATGCCCCGCTGTCATGAAATTCAACAAAGAAAAGAACGCAAAGAAACTCGCACAATTGGCTGAAAGAGTCTATGGTATTAAAAACGCTACGGCCCAAGATGGTATCGACTGCACTATTAACTTCTTCAAGTCCGTCGGTGGTATTACTACTATGACTGAAAATAAGTACGACGAACAGTACATCGAAACTATTGCCGAGAAATTCAAGGGAAGAAAGATCGGCGCTCACCAAGACATTTCTTACGAGGAAGTCAAACAAATCTTCAAATTGATGCAATAAACAACTCCCTTTAACTTCTTTGAATGGTTTTTTATAATAAATGTATAGTTTCATATATATTTATTATATTATTATTATTATATTATTATTATTATATTATTATTTCACAATTTTATATAATTGTATTATATTATTTAGTTTTCATATAGTATATATTAATACAGTTTTTATGTATAATAACTATAAAATGTATTATATTTATTAATATTAATATAATACAGTTTTTAAATTATATTATACAGTAAAACCTCCCAAGAGCGGTACCTCTGAAGAGCGGGTTCTCCCAAAAGCGGGCATTTTTTAGACTGAAACTAAAAATAGAGTTCTCTATCGAGCGGTTTATAAGGTTTGATTGGCTAAAAATGCCCGCTCTTGAGAGAACAAAATTACCACATCTCCCGCTCTTGGGAGGTTTTACTGTATATATAATAATATAATACATATATATATTAAACACCACATTTTAAAATACAAAAATAGTTTGCAAAACAAATTAAATGATAAAAAAACAAGACCAAAAATTCATTTTAGACCGAACTATTTTATTAGTAATAAATCCCGATTGTTTACAGTAAAAATGGCTATCAAGTTACTCTGATAATTAGGGTATTTAAAACTCCTCTCTCATCTTTTACTTATTAAAAATATGGGACACGGTCCACGGACATCCGAGAAAAGAATGAAGAAAGACAAAGAGACCAAACGGGAGGAGGCGGACGTTTATGTTGCAAAGACCCCCGAAGATATTGAAGATGACAAAATGAAAGAGGAGGTTCTTGAGAACACACCTGAGCGAATAGTTTCGGTCTTTGTCACTAAAGTGCCATACACATTCACTGAAAAAACGTTTGCAAATTTGTTTGTGAAGTACAAGAAGTTTGTTTATAAGACACGGGCATTTTTATTTAAAAATGGTGTGTGCAAGGGTTTTGGGTTTGTTGATGTGATCGACAAGGAAAATGTTTGTTTTTTTTGTGGCGTATAAATTCCGTATGAATGTCTCTAATACTATAATTATACTATAATAAATACTATAATTATTATATATATTATACTATATAATTATATTATAATAAACACTCTAATTATACTTTTTGTAGTGGTAATAAAGCAATAACACTCATTACTAGGCGAATAGAATTATCAGAGAAATGAATGGCTTAGAGGTTGAAGGTGAAGATGGCCCTCATCAATTAGTTCTTGAACTCTCTGAGAAGTTGGCCTATGTCAAACAAACTAAATGTTTTGTGTGTGGGAAAACCGGACACACTAAAAGCAACTGCCCCGAAGTGGTCGAGGCACAAAAGAAAGACAAAGAGAACATTCAAAATTTGAAGAAGCAAATCGACGCAAAGGATAAGAACGACTCGAAGAAGAAAAAGTCGGCTGTTACTGTGAAAACTGGAAAAAATTGAAGGGATTGGGTTTGAATTTGTTTTTGGTTGTATAATTAATAATAATAATAAAATTACTATACTTTTTTTATACATTATTTTTGCCTGTTTTTTTAATATTGGGAATTTTAATTAACGAGTTGTTTTTGTATTGAAACTATTGTTAAATTGAATAACACGTTAAATATTTTTTCTTTTATTTATTAATAATTGATTATAAATAATAATATATAATAAATAAATAATTATATTATACTATCCGTTTTTTCTTAAATTATTTAACTTAAAATACTTAAATAAATGATATTAAAATTATTTTCATATTTTGTTGTTTTTTAATAAAAAAAGACTGAACTTTGCAAAAAACAAGCCATTGGATGGGATTTAATTTACGGATTTGAATTTTATTGGATTTTTCATATTACAATTTAATTATTTGAATAGTTTTAATATAGTAAATGAAACACTAAGAAATTTCAGAAAAAATGAAGATTAAAAAAAATAAAACGAAAAATTCATTCAATTCAAGACGTTTAATTTACAAATTGTGGTAAAACAAACTAATTCAAAAAAGATTATAATTGTTTAGTGGGAATACTATTCTATATTATAATTTTGTTGTTAAAACAACAAGAATTGTGGTACAAAAAAGAACAATTTGCAAGTAGAATAACAATTCCTTTGAACATTTGAATAATATAATTTATAATCAAATGGGGTTCATTCACATTATTTTCGTTACGTAACAATAATTGAAACAACTGATTATTATAACGGTTGTATTATTGTGACGCGTTTTCTTAATTGAAAATATGCCAGACTAATCAAATTTATTCAAATCGCTGTTACTTAATTATTCTTCTTGTTTTAATTTCCCTCATCTTTTTCAAACTATTTTTGTACTCAAAAATAGTTTGAAATTCAAGGGCACAAAAGTCTACTCAACTTTTAGTCGACTTTTCAACAAAAAAAAAGAAAGAAACTTTCGTATTTTGGGCTTGATAAACGCAAGAAGGTTTGTCATAAAATAAGAAAAAAAATGAATTTGTTGAATGATCGAATCTAATTAATAACAGCGTTTTTCGATTATTTAGTTGAATAATATTTAAATAACATTTGTATCAATAACTTTGTTATTTGCTTTTGATTCTTTTTTATAGTTTTCGTATTCTTAATCCATTGAATTACATTCCCTCCACAACAAAATTTGAAGGCTGCATTTATTTTATTCCTTTTTTTAACTCCTTTCAAATGTAATTATTTTATATTTTTGATCAATAAAAGTTAAACAAATATTTAGAACAACTAGATCGGCAACATAATTCAAATTGTAACAGTTTTCGTCTTAAATGAAAAACATTTGTATTATCGAATCATAATTGCCGTAAATCTATCATTTTGCTTATTTTTTAATTTCGTGTGAAACTGCATTTGAATTAACTTCATTTAAAAAGACGTTTTTCTCCTGATAAATCGGGAACAAATGAATTGTTTTTCTAATTATTGGTGTCTTCGCTTCCAAACATTTCTTTTTACGAAAAAAAAGATAACAAATTTTATTCAAAAAATAAGGGATTTAGTGGAACATCCCGTTTTTTCATAAATTTTTGTACTAAAAAACAAATAGTAAATAAAAACAAATACAAAAGCCCAAAATTCTATTATTTAATAGAGTGCACCTATGTTCAAGAAAAACAAAGTTGGGGTGTCTATCATTTTGTGTTTAAAAATAAGAGTCGACAAAAACGTTAAAACGCCAAGAAAAAAGCGAACGGACTTTTTTTTCATTTGGTATAAATGTTTTTCTATAATAAAAAGAAAGAATAAATTTAAGAAAAAAACTGTTTGGTTTTCCGATATTATATCGTTTTTTGTGCGACTAAAAATGTCAACTTGAATACACCCGTTTATTACACGTTTGATAATGTGTTACTTGTCTTTTTCCTGAAGACGGCTGTTGTGGTGTGAATTGCAGCGAATAAAGGTATCGAAAATTAGAAAATTTAATACCTATAAAATTATATAAAAAACAAAGACCCTATAAAATAGCAACTCAACTTGTAATATCAAAATGGAAAATTTCGCGTGCTTAAAACAAGTCTTTTGCAACTGTGCGCTTTGCAGACAATTCACTTTGGTTCAACAGGTCCCAAAGATTAAAACGACCAAATTGTGTGTTTTGATATTACTTTCTCTTCAAGATTTGTACAACGATAAGGAATACTTCTCCCTCAAAACTGACATCTTTGTCTTCATTAAGTCTCACTGGGACGTTCTCAACAAATTTAAGCAATTCAAGCAACCAAACTGGAAGAAAGCCATTTTAGACGCGTTCAACCATTGCACGTCGATTCAGTCGGGAAAAGGTGTTTATAAAACACGCGGGTTTTATAAGTTAAAACCAGAAGAGAGGATGTTTGGGTTTGAGGAATTTAGTGAGAAAACTCAAATGAAAAAAGACCTAATCGAAGCTTTCACACATTTACAAGAGGCAATACAGAAGAATGCTTTATTGTTTTCTGAAGTACAAAAGAAATGTCGCATTGTAAGTGCTGATGACTATAATTATGTTTTAAATACACACAACGCCTCATTTTTAGAGTTGGGAAATTTTGTCCAAATGATGAAAGTTAATAAGGCGTTGTAATTGTACTGATTTTCGTGTTAATTTTACATGAGTGTTCTTTGTGTTAAAATATTTTCAACTTCAACAGCAATTTTTTTTGGATAAAAAGTAGGCATTTATCGATACCATATATAACCAATTCGAAAAATAAAATACTTCTGTTTTAATAAGTTATAAATTAATGGTATATAAAACCATTCAAATGCTACCAATTTATTAACAATGTTTTTCTAATGGATTTTTTGGAATTTTTACATTTTTAAATGTTGGTTTTTTATTTTTTTTGGTGTTTTGGAATTATTTTTTAAAATCAGATGATTTTTTATAGATAATTACATTATTGTTTTTTAAGTTAGAAATTAGTATTAATTGTACTAATCTGTATATATATATTATATCCATCATTGATATTAATTTTTTACATCATATTCATATAAAATTAAATAAAGTAACTATAACCAATACTGATGTATTTGAATGGGATTTTTTTATACAAAAACAAATTGGTTTTTATTAATATGGTTTGATTAAAATGTATCATCTATCTTTTTAAGCAGTTTATATAATCATTCAATAATTCTTTTTTATTTAAAAAGCAATTTGAAAAACAACAACATTTTTTATTTGGTTTTATGTTTATTTCTTTTATTGAATGCAAAGAAATATTATACCAAATATTTTTAAAAAAACATTGAGTAATAACTTGTAAATGTTTTATATGTTATTACTAAAACTAAATATGTTTTAAAATGTCTTATTATTATGTTGGTATAAGATATGTTTATTTATTTATATCTAACAAGATATTCACTAACAGAATTACTCTTGAACTCGATAATCTTTTATTTAAAATCAAAACACAAATCAGTGTTTTTATAATACAATAGCAATTAGTATTTTGATTAATCATATTATAATAAATCTATTTATTTATAGAAATATTTTATAATTAAAAATATCTATTTAATATAAATAAAACAGAATTAACAAATTTGTAATAAAAATAAATTATAAATTACAATAAAATAAACAAATTCAAATTAATTAACATAAGAATAGGAGAAAATGTAAATTGCTAGAACCTCTTTTTAAACAAAACAGATCTTTAAAAACTTAACAATGAAAAGCGACCATAAAAGTGAACACAAAGAAGTACATGACAACACAGAAGAAGTGGACAATACTACAGCCACTTTTTTGCACTTAACCCCATTCTATAGTCCACCAATTCCTCCACCTTTAATTCCTCATCCAATATACAAAATACCACCAAAGTATTCGTTACTATCTAAACATTTTCTTGTTTGAAATTAAGCAATTCTTTCAATTATTTCATATTATTATTTATTAATATAAATAATTTAATAATTATAATATCTAACAAAAAGTTATAAAAAAAATAATATCATTTAGTTTTAATTAAATAAATTAAATTAAAAACAATTATATTCATTAATATACCTTTTTATTAATTAAATTACTATATTTATATTATTTATTAAATTTTTTTTAACAGTTTCAAAAACCACTCTTTTTTTTTAACAGAAAAATAACAACAAAAAAAAATAATATGGTTAAAAAAACTATTAATAGCATTTATTTGATAATAATTTTGTTTGTATGGGTTAAAAATCATTGAAGTATGAATTATCAAATATAATAAATTCAATAATACATAATGATTAAATAATTTACAACAGCCGTTGAATTTATCTTTTTTAAATCGAAAATACCCAAAACATTGTCAATTTTTATTATAATAAAATATCTCAATCTTTTATTATAAATATAAATTAGTTTGGGCAAATATTTACTATTCAAAATGTTTTTAATACCTCTTTCGTAATAGTCAAACATGATATTGACAATATTTGATAAAAATAAACCATATTAATATAGTTTAATATTATAACCATTAAATTATAGTAAAATCAATTATTAAAAATGGCATACAGTTTGTTTCGAATTTCTAATCAAAAGAACTCGATAAAATCAAATAACACGAAATGCAAGTAGACGCCCAACAGCCCGTTAACAACGACAAAGTGTGTGGCTTTTGTAATGATAGTGAAAGTAATGAAAAATTGATACGACCCTGTGCGTGTGAAGGCTTATTCAAATATGTGCACCCTTCTTGTTTACAGCAGTACCGAGTATTTAACAACGACCCCATTGGGTTCTACCGCTGTTTAAATTGTGGAGTAGATTATACGACTAAGCAGAAGAAGGACCACAACCTCTTTTTCTTACTTCTGAAGTTCTTTACAAAGGGCCTTCTCCAATTTTTGATGATGTTTGTCTACCTCTTCTTAATAGTATTTGCCTCGGGGAATATACTTTATGCTATCGATACGTATGTGACACATGTTTTGTTAGCTTCTAATGATGAAAAAGAATTGCACTGGATCGACGATGACATGTGGATACCACGTGTTCTTATTTTTGGTGCTATATTAGACTGTCTAGTCTTGGGTATCATCACTGTCTTTGGTGGGATCGTCCAAGCGACTTCAGACGATATGGCTGCCGACGAATTGAATTACAGAGACACTGAGCGACTTGGTGCGTGTTGTGGAGTTGGTCTTTGTTGTCAGCCGTATGTCTGGCGGAATTCGATCTTAAAGAAGTTGTACCTTTGTGGGTGGTGTTTTTGTTGTCCACGAACGTGTCCTGCGGTGACTGATTTGATCTGTTGTCGAATCCCATTTCCCTGTTCTTGTGCTGAGAAGACCTTTAATTCATGTTGTTATGTTACAGATGATCACAAGTACCACAAAAAAGGACGATTTTGGGATTGTGGGGAAGATGGGTGTACCAATTGCATTAACTTCTTTGTGTTACTAGCAGCGTCTTTTGTCTTCATTTTGTTTGGATGTGGATCGAGTAATAATGACAGTGGACTCTTCTTAGGGATTTTGTTCTTATTTTTGATAGCTTGTGCGATGATCTTGTTTGGAGCATTTGTTGGGATCTTTGGTGTTATTACTTTTGTCATCATATTGACGTCTCTCAACTTTAAGTTCATCAAACGACAAGCTATGGCGGAGAGAACAGAACTCTGCGACTGGGATGAGACAATACACCCTATGCCCACTCATGACGCTCCTGTATGTAATCCACAAAACGTCCCAATGCAAGGCGTACAAGTCGGACAGCCTACTTACTCACAGCCAATGCAGCCACAAATGAATCAATCAAACTATACACCAGGTGGTATACAGAATGTGGAACAAAGTGGGCAATATGTCCCACCTCCTATGCAATATACTCCTGGGGGTCAAGGGGAGGTCCAAAGCACTCAAGACTATATTCAACAGAATGAACAACACCCATATACCCCTGCTCAACATCAACAAGAGTATGTCCCTGGAGGTCAACAAGTCCAAATGCAAACGACTGAAACAGAAGTCCAGTATGTACCTCCACCACCTCAAGTGGGTAATGAGTCTGAAATGCAAAACGCACCAGCGGCTGATGGTCTGGACAAGTAGAGACATACCAAAAGATGTACTTTTGGTATATAACTGTGTGTGTCTGTGTTGTTATAGTTCAATACTATAATAGTATAGTTAAATACTAATATAATATAGTTAAATAGTATTATTATAAATAAACTATAAATAAACTAGTTATTTGAGGTATTCGAAAACGACTTCGTCATCAAATTTTTGATTCTTGAAGACCGCCTTGTGGAAAACACCAACGCGAGTAAAGCCGACCTTCTCAAGCACTTTTTGAGACTTGAGGTTTGAACCAAAAATGTGAGAGTAAATTCTAACGGCATCACTGTTGGATAAGTAGTCGGCCATCGACTCTTTGACAGCACGTGGCATGATCCCATGGCCCCAATACTCTTCGGCAAGCCAATATCCAATTTCTGAACTATACCGGTTGACATCTGTACTTGGAATGTATGCAATTGCTCCTATTAAAACCCCATTAATGTCTATACCATAGAACCCAATGTGATGGTCTTTAACAAAGTTTAAGTAATCGATGGCATCTTGTTTCGTGTATGGCTTTGGAAGGTAATCACGTAAATTGTCAGTAATGTGCGTGTTATTTAAGTTGCGACAAAAAGAATCCGCGTCGGTTGGTAAAATTGGACGGATTGTAAAATTTAAACTCGAGTCAGTCATGTGTTTGTGAACACTGCCGTTTTAATATTTGAAAAGCTTATGAAACATGTTTTCGATTTTGGATTCCAGAAAAATATTTGGAAACCAAATATTTTTATCAAGTTTTTATTATACTTTCATGTGTTTCACATTGAGTCTTATTAATAATTAATTGTTTATTTATAATTTATTTATAATTAAAGTCTTTAATTAAATCCACTTTAATTTTTTATTATTTATTTACTTATAACATTATAATAAAATAATAAAACTTAAAAATATTATTAAATTGCCTATTATTTTTTCAAAGAAAAAATAACAATTATTAATATTAATAATAAAATAAATTATAAGAATTGTTAATGATAATTTGATTATTATTTCGAACTTTCAACTTCGTAAAAAACTTTTTTTTGTATTATTTATGGTGATGATTTAAAAAAAATAAATATTTTTTCAATTATTGTTTTTTGTAAATGTTATTACATTATTGTATCAAAAATATCAATAAATTAAATTATATAATATAGTACATATAATGAACACATAAATATCCAATTTCTCGTTATAAACACAAAGTTAATATTTTGTTTGATTTTCTTATAATTGAAATTTAATTAAGTAAAAATTTAATTTCAATTGGTTTTAACAGCCATTACGAATAAAAAATTTATTTATGAAACATTCAAATAACATTTCAAATAGTCTTAGAATAGTTTGATTTTTGTTCAAAGTAACTGAACCATTAATTTAGTATTATTTAATTATAAAAAATAATACATTTAAATTCAAACAAAAAATAGAATTAGTTTTAATTATTTGTTGTTCAACAATTGTTATTGGCAGGATTAATTTTATTTGTTGTTTTTTATACAAAAAGAACTATAAAAATGACTTAAACATCATGTTATGCTTTTTTACAATGTTTATGTTTGCTTTATCCATTGACTGGTGTTGGGAGGGTGACATGTTACACTGTTTTAACGAGAAAAAAGAACACTGCGACTCGTCTTTTGTTTCTTACACAAATGAGTCGCTAAGTCTTTTAGGTGGGAATTCACAATTTGTCAAAATAACGTGTACTGCAATCTCAGCATTAATAATTGATATTCCAAAGGATTTTGCTTCAATGTGGGTTTCGTTGAATAACACCAAGCTTATTATCAAAACAAAAAACAAAATGTTGGTCAGTAAAAACGTTAAAAATTCTGAATATTTTTTATTTGATGATTTTTTGAAAACATCAAAAAACAAAACTTCTTTTCTGAAAAATGGAGGTTCTAACTGTGGCGGTTATTATAACAAATATTGCTTATATTGTATGGAAAACCGAATGAGTTGCAAACAATGTGAAGATGGGTATAGCCCGATGTATGACATTAATGATGGTTATGGTGGTGAAATAGTTCAATGTGCAAATTTTTTGGCAACAACACAGAATTGGTGGTGTGGTGCCGACAACGAAAACACTATGGACTCGAATAAGAATTGTAAAGTACAACATTGTGATCGAGGGAGTGCTGGTTCAAAAGGAACTGCAGGGAATTGTAATAAATGCAAAAGCAGTTATAATAATTATTATGACAACAATTGCCACAAATGTCAACAAGGTTATTATTTCAAAAATGGTAATTGCAAAAAATGTGCGGAGGGGTGTTCATCTTGTACAGAAACATATTGTCAAATATGTTTAGAAGGTTATTATGGGATACAAGTTCCGGGTAATAATCAATCGAGTTATACATATCAATGTATTGCATGTGAAGTTGGATGTTCTTCTTGTACTTCTAAAGAGTGTTCGATTTGTAAAACGGGGTTTTATCTTCAAAGTGGTGTTTGTGTAACATGTCCTAACACGTGTTCTTTGTGTTCCACGACAAGTGCAGAGTGTTTATCGTGTGCAACAAATTACGTTTTTTTACCTTCTCCTCTTGTTGGGTGTGAGTCTTGTATTTCTTTTGACTCATATTGCAAAACATGTGATCCAGGTTACCAAAGAAGGTGTTATGAGTGCCAAATTGGGTATTATCCTTCTCTAACTACTTACAAATGTACTAAATGTTCTCTGACTTGTGAATCGAATGGGTGTAACACGTATACAGGAGTATGTCAGACATGTGCTGATAATTACACTATAATCACAAATTCAAATACGGCGTGTGAGTTATGTACATCTTATGATTCCAATTGCGAAACATGTTCAAAAACAACAAGAAAATGCAACAAATGTAAAGCTGGTTATTACCCACAAATTGTGTATCCTTATAAATGTATTTTATGTGACATTACATGCAATGGTCAATGTGATGCAACAACAGGATATTGTACCTCGTGTATTCCCGATTACGTCTTGACACTCAACAGAAATTCACTCAAGTGTGAGTCGTGTCAAATATTTGAACCAAATTGCAAATCATGTGCTTTTAATGGAGAGAGAAAGTGTCTAACTTGTGTCAATAAGTACAAACCCGCAAGTAACGGGACTTGCATCAAATGTGATTCAACCTGTTTGGACAACTGTGATGGAACAAGTGGAATTTGTACCAAATGCGTGAGTGGTTATGTTCCTTATAACCCAACACAAACAACTTGTCAAGAATGCACCGATTTCGACACAAAATGTATAAACTGCGCAACAAACAATACACGAATATGTAATGAATGTAAATTACCTTTTTATCCATCACAATCAGGACAAAATATTGGACAATGTATTGAATGCGACTCAACATGTTCCATTTGCAGCACCAAAAACGGAATTTGCGAAAATTGCAAGACTGGGACTGTTTATACAGAACCGATGTCGATACGATGTGAGATGTGTTCCACCTTTGATTCGAATTGTGTGACGTGTTCTGTTGACTCAAGTCGTGTTTGTACAACATGTAAAAGCGGTCTTCGTCCAAACACAACAAGTGGGAAGTGTGTTGGGTGTGGGTTGCACTGTGTATCTGGTGCATGCAACCCAACGAGTGGGATTTGCAACCAGTGTGATACAAATTACGTGTTTCAAAGCACAAAGACTGACCAGTGTGAGAGCTGTTCGACATTTGACGCCAACTGCATCACATGCGCATCAGACTCAACAAGGAAGTGCAAACAATGTAAGGCAGGGTATTACCCGAAGACATCTGGCGACTACAAGTGTCAGAGCTGTGATGCAACATGTGGTGGAAAGTGCGATACAACAACTGGAATGTGTGCTGGGTGCACAAGTGGGTATGTGCCAACATCACCAATCACAAACAAATGTGTCACGTGCAACACTTTTGATTTTAACTGTGCAAAATGTGTTGGTGATAAGAGAGAGTGTGCAATGTGTGTGAGTGGGATGTATCCAAACACAAACGGGACATGCACTCTGTGTGATGCAAGTTGTAATGGGCAGTGCAACACATCAACTGGTGTCTGCACAGGCTGTACAACAAACAACGTTTTCACTGATCCGCCAGGCAAAGTGTGTGTTGCTTGCAAATCATTTGACACAAACTGCATCACCTGTGCCTCAGATAACACGCGGCGATGTTACCAGTGCGAAGACACGTATTACCCGGGCAGTGACGGTGTTTGTGTCAAGTGTGCGTCTGGGTGTGCGACGTGCAGCCCAATCACCGGTGTGTGCTCAAAGTGTGTTGCCCAATACGTCCCGAGTGCAAGCGACACGAAGTTGTGTCAGTCGTGTGAATCATTTGATTCGAACTGTTTGCAGTGTGCAAGTACATTTACACGAACATGCACAACATGCAAAACGGAAGCGATGTATCCACAAGGCGGCAAGTGTGTGCCGTGCGATTCGCCATGCAATGGAAAGTGCGACCCAACCAACGGGAATTGTCGAAGTTGTTTGTCTGGATATGTGTTGACAAGTCCTGTTTCAAAAGTGTGTGAGAGCTGCCAGACATTCGACAATCACTGCCAAGCAAACTCATGTGCGTCAAATGGAATCCGCATATGCACAAATTGTACGGCTGGCTACTTCCCACAAAGTGATGGGAGATGTGGAGTGTGTGATACAACATGTGGTGGGAAGTGTAACACAGTGAGTGGGGTGTGCACTGGCTGTTCATCCAACCACGTCTACAACCCAAGCAACACAAAAACGTGCAGAGTGTGCACCTTGCTTGATGCAAAGTGCTCGACTTGCGACACCAACTTTGGGAGTGAGAAGTGTGTTTCGTGTACATCGGGGTATTACCCAGACAGCAATGGTAAGTGCATTTTGTGTGACAACACGTGTGGTGGTAAGTGCAACACAACAACGGGTGTGTGCACTGGGTGTCTTGATGGGTATGTCAAGAACGGGATGAGTTGCATCAGCTGTGCTGCCTTCAATGCGGATTGTGAGACGTGTGACAGCAACTATGAGAAGAAGTGCACTGTCTGCAAAAACAACAAATACTCAGTTGATGGTGTCTGTGTTGATTGTGATGGTGCGTGTGAAAATTGCGATGGTGTGACTGGAAACTGCAAGTCATGCAGTGAGAACAGTGTTGTCCAGTCTGGAAGCACCACACAATGTGAGACTTGCAGCACCTTCGACTCGCTGTGTGTGACGTGTGCAAGCGATGCAACACGCAACTGCGTCAAATGCACAACAAACAATTACCCCGTTCTCCAACTGAATGGCGAGAAAAGATGCCAACAATGCAACACAACATGCAATGGAAACTGTTACACGGAAACGGGATATTGCAAGAGCTGCTTGCAAAACTACGTCTTTGTCAGTGCAACAAGTCTTGTTTGTGAGAGTTGCAAATCATTTGATCAGCACTGCACAACTTGCTCGCCAACATTTGAGAGAAAGTGTGTTACATGCGACACAGGGTATTACCCTGGTAGCAATGGTACTTGTGTTGTGTGTGACTCCACATGTGCAAACAGTTGTGATGGAAGCACTGGATACTGCCTGTCGTGTGTAACTGGGTTTGTGTTGTCTGCATCGCCATCACAGCACTGCATCACATGCGAACAGTTTGACACGTATTGTGCTGAGTGTCCAGGCGGTGCAGAGAGGAAGTGCA